ACTTAGAATTCTACACTCAGCAAAAATATCTTCAAGAAATAAAGGCAAAATAAAAACATAAGAAAGACATTAACCATAACAAAGCTGAAAGAATTCATGCCCAGCAGATCTGCACTACAAAAAAATGTTTTAAAAAATCCAATAGGCAGAAAGAAAATGATATCAGATGGAAATATGGATCTACACAAAGAAATGAGGAGCACCAGAAATGTGGATATATTTAATAGTCTTTTTTCCTTATTTTCAATCTCTTTTTAAAAGTTGATTGTATAATACAAAAATAAAAGTAATAAGAAATATATTGTGAGGTTACAACATATGGAGAAGTAAAATGTATGGTAACAACAGCACAAATGCCAGTTGGGAGAAATGGAAGTATACTGTTTTAAGGTCCTTAAACATACAGTAGTAGTTTATAGTTTGAAGGTAGACTGTGGTAAGTTAGAGATGTGTAAGAAAGCAACCACTAAAGTAGCAAAACAAAGAGTTACAGTTAATAAGCCAATAAAGGAAATAAAGTATAGAGTAATAAAAAAACACTCAATTGGAATAAAGGCATGAAGACTGAGAAAAGGCAACAAAGAACACATGGGGAAAAATAGAAAATAGATTGGTAGATTTTAACGAGACCATATCAATAATCATGTTAAATATTAATAGCCTAAAAACCTCAATTAAAAGGCAGAGATATCAGACTGAATGAAAAAGCAAGACCCAACTAGCTGTTGGCACCAAAAAAAACCTCCCTCATTTCTTATATGAAGACACAAATCGGTTAAAATGATGGGAAAAGACACTAGTCTAACATTAATTAAAAAAAAAAAAACTATAGTGGCTATCATCAGAAAAGTGGTTTTCAGAGCAAAGAATTTATCAGGGACAAAGGAGGTCATTTCAAAATGATAAAGGGGTCAATTCATTAGAACATAATAGTCCTGAATGTTAATACAGCACCTTCAAAATACATGAAGCAAAAACTGATAAAACTGCAAGGAGAAAAAGACAAATCAACAATTATAGTTGGAGATTTGAATACTCCTCTCATTAATTAATAGAATATACAAAAAAATCAGTGATGATATAGAAGACATGAACACTCAATTAACCTAACTGACATTTATACAACACTCTACTCAACAACAAAACACATTATTTTCAAGCACACACAGAATATTTACTAAGGTTTAGAGTACATTTGCGGCTTCGCAAAACATCTCAGAACTTATTTCAAAATATTTTGCAGTAGAATAAAGAATTTATCTGGTCTTTGTCCGGGGTTCCTAGCATGGAACTACTAAAACCCTTAGAATTTCCCAAACAGAAGTGATTTATGTTATTCATCATGGACACTGATTGTGTATGTTAATGAGGTGATTCATGGTGGACCCCTAGATAGCTTATGCCAAAAAGCTCACTTAGATGGGGCTAGCCCACACCAGAAAGATCAATCACATAATCAGAATGGCAAGACTCTGAGCCAGCCTGACACCCAGGAAGGTTAGGTAGGAGAGGGGAGCTGGAGACTGACCTCAATCACATGGTCAGTGATTTACTAAATCCTCCCTACATCATGAAACCCCAGGAAAAACTCTGGACTTCAACTTAGAGATCCTGAAAGTTCTCATCACAAGGGAAAAAAAAATTCTAACTATGTATGGTAATGGATGTTAACTAGACTTATTGTGGTGATCATTTTGAAATATACACAAATAGCGAATCATGTTGTACACCTGAAACTGTTATGTCAACTATATCTCAATAAAAAAATACAAAACAAAAACAAACAAAAACCTCTAGAATTCCTGGTCACTCGTTTTATTTCTTGACCTGGATAAACGGTTACATAGTCGTTGCTTATATTACCCATTAACATGTCCATTTACTTATGCACTTTTGTGTATATAGATTTCTCAACAGAAATAAATTTAATACTGACATTAACCCAGATCTGATGAAAGACATAAATCTGCAGATTCAGAAAGCACTTAAATCCCAAACATGATAAAAAGAAATCTGTAGCTAGACGTATAATAAAAACTATACATCTCCAAAGATAAAAGTGAGTATCTTAAAACAGCCCAAAAGAAGTCAGTTCTAAATCCACAGCTCTAAAGATAATTTCAGAAAGTAAAAACAATTCTACTTTGAAAGAATGTCTGAGATGCAAGAAAAAAAAGTTGAGCCAAAAAAACGAAAGATAAACATGTATGCAAACCTAAGCATTATATAAAATGCTAATGATATCCAATTTGGAGGTTAAATAAAGAACTAGAGGAACTTGATTAGAATTAATATATTTTAATATCTTTATTTAGAAAGAGGGTACAGATAGTTATCATTTTTAGATGCTAAGCATGTTCAACTTTTAAGGATAATCAAAAGTACTTATAATAGAATGTTTACATTTCAAATCAGTAGAGGGAAAACATATAATAAATAGAAAATGCAACCAAGCCAAAAAGAAGACAGGAAAGGGATAAGGATGAGAAAGAAGCATCAGCATAGAACAAGAGAAAAAAATACAGTATGAAATAAGACAGAAAAAATAAATCCAAATAGACTTGCACTTCCACATTATGGTAGGACAGATACTCTTAAGAGTTATCCCAATACAAAACACTAGATCCTGGAGAAAACAGACCTTTTCATTCATTGCAGGGTTATGCTATAGAAGGGAAATCTCCAGGCCCCATCCCTCTACACTCACACAGGAAAAAAACAGCTGAAACAAAAGCAGGAAAGGAGCAGGAAGCATCAGGCAAGAAGCAGGCTTCGAAGGTGGGGTTTACACTGAAGGCAAATGCTGATAGGAGCCAGCAATTGACCTCTGGAGACAAAATCTTAGGATAGCAGCAGCAAGGTCAGGGAGCTGAAAACAAGGCAAAATAAGACAAATTAAATGCATTTAGTCAGGACCTTTGAAGGGGTTACAGTGGTGCCAATAGATTGGTACTGCCTCACTGCAAGCAAATGCAAATCACATCTGAAGGGGAAGCATCCACAACTTAGGTCCTTTGTTTTCCCACAGATTAAGTTTAGCCACACACTCAAGGAAACAAGCCAAAATGGTACAGAACAATATGCAAAAATTTAGACTTATAAAGATTTACAACATTGAAACGATCAGAAACAGAATATAAAATATTTATAAGTTTTTTAAATTAGAAATGGACTTACCAGAGACTATAGTGAATAAATAGGAAGATGAGAAAAAGAATCAAATGAAAAATATAATTATTGAAATTAGTGTTTTAAATGGTAGATCAGACATTGCTGAAAAACAATTAGTAAACAAGAGACAGAGCTAATGAAATTAACCAACATGTAGCACAGATAAACAGAATGACGAAAAAGTATGAGAGATTAAGGAACACGAAGGATGGAGTAAGACAGTCCATCATTTGTGTAATCAGAGTCCTAGAAGAATAGAGAAGTACTATCTGAAGAGCTGGTGGCTAAAGATTTTACAGAACTAGCATGAATTGAAAGATACAGGAAGCCAGCATATACCAAAGATGAATAAAAAGAAATTCACATCTCCAAACATAATAGTACACCCGTAGAACACCAAAGGAAGAAAAGCTTTTATTAAAAGCAGATAGAGAGAAAAGATAACCTAAACAGTCAGACGCTGAGGCACAAAGATGCTGAAAGACTAATTTAAGGCCACAGTAGCAGTCGAAGAGCTGTAATAAACCCCCTGCACTCTCACTCCAGAAGGTGTACTTTTAACTACTATTTTGTGTTCTATTTTTAAACTGGCCAAAACTGTTTACTCTTCATATCTTTTTTTTTCCTTTTTTTCAATCTTTCTAGCTGTCTAACAATTTCTGGCTGAAATAATTACAAGGTCTATTAGAAACTTTTAAAAAACATATTATCTGAAAAATATACTCCTTTTATGAATTTAACTACCTTACCAGAATACTACATGTAGAAAACTCTGTAGTCCTTGATCCAGAGCTCTAAATATTTGCACAGCAAATAACTTCCGATGTTCTTGCTCCAAGAGCAAGGGAGTTTGATAACCCCAAACTCCCTTTTAAAAACCCTTGGTGGTTAGGGAATTTGCAAATTTCAAGAAATCTAAAACTAAGTTAAAACTTCTTACCTAGAAGAAAGTATTTCTAAGCTACTCTTTATTCACGTGTACTTTATTTTCATCGTCTCTTCTTTAGATTATATCTGCAGAGGTTATAAACTTGAGAACAGAACTCCTCCAAGCCAGTGCTGACGGATACTTTGGTGTGTTCTAAAACACCTTCCATGTCTTATAAACTATAAGATGGCCACAATCTTATATCCAACTTTTAATCTGGCAGGCAAGAGGGGATAGTAATTACAATGGGATAAAGAAAACATCCATCAATTTAGTAAATGTGGATGTTTGTTGTGGGTTGACGTCCTTAATCTTATCTCCAAAATGTGGAGAAGATACAAAAACATCTAATCCATTGCTTTTAAACTCTACAGACTGGCCAGAAGGAAATGGACTTCTTCCATTATCTAGCATTCTTAAAGACCTATTACCTTGCGTTTCTGTTTCCATCTTTCCCTTAATCTATTTGTACGGAGAGTTCTTCTAGTTCTCTACAACATATACACTTCCCCGCCCAACTCCCCACCTGGTCCCTGCCACACGATTCATTCATTCATTCAAAATTTACTGAGTGCCCTCTGTGTGCCAGGCATTGTGGTAGGTCCTAGGAGTACTAATAAGTATTAATTGAATATACACTGCTTTGGTATTTTTTCAAAAATCAACTTATTATATGGTACATAGTACTTTAGTCAAAGATATCTACACTTTTAATAGATTAGCTGGCAGTAGAATTTCTTATTTGGTTATTTCCTAATGGGCTGAATTTCTCAAGTCATTCCATACTTCACAAAAAAAAAAACCTGTTCTTCATTATAGCATAGCAATGATTTAGCTAGTTTATTTTTTATATGCAGGCATATATATCTTCCCCCCAATTTATGGAAAATGTACTAATGCTATGATATTCTTTTTATTGAAAAGCAATATGAAATAGCTTTAGAAATCAGAGGAAGGTACTATTTTACATTATGTCTTCTGTCATAAATATTTCTATGCTGTAACAGAATTTACTTCCCATAACTATTCTTGCTTTATCTAGAGCATTTTATATTGGATTTCTACATTATTGAATATCTATTAGTGTTTAATTTAGAAGAGCTTAATAAACTGCCGACAACAGTGGTCTTTCCCTTGCTTTTTTAGACCTTTTTTCTGAACATGCTTATTTATTTACAATATGGAAATCTGATCATGTTCTCTTCCAGTCAGCCAACAACTCTTTTTGTACTTCTTCTGGTAGTTCATAGAAAACTTCAGGATCAACATCAGAAGGAAAAGTAATTTTCTCATCAGTAGAGTCTTGCTCTCTATTTTCTGTTAGTCCTTCATGCCGAGAGACTGTTGCTGTTGGTTGCTTATGGCTATCTGTAGTTCGGTTTTTGAAGAAAAGTTGCTCACTCTGCAAATTTGGAAATGAATGGAAAACAGATACAGTGGGGTTTGTATTTGAAAAGTGGAATCCTTTAGATTCTTTAGGTCCTTGACTCATTCGTTCATCTTTTAATCTACTGTCTAAATAATGTGAATAATCCTTTTGGCTAGACAGATAAGAGGAACTACTGCTATTTAAGCCTGAAGTTCCCGGTTCACAGGGAGATACAGAGGACATCTGTTTGCTTTTGGATAAATGATCTCTAGGATGTAAGGGACTATCTTGTATTTGTTTTGTGGAAAAGAATGATAATACTCCTCTAGAGGCATGTAATGGACAACTCAAACTTCCTTTCCCTTGAACTTTTTCTCCAGATTTTCCAGAAAGGATTTCTTCTTGAATATCTACTGGAAGCTGCTTAAATACTTCCTGGTCAATACCCTCAGGAAGTGAGCAGAGTGGGAATTCATTACTGTCTTTTTCTTCAGAAAAATTTGTGTTATCTAGTGGAGACTCCCCAGTTCTTGTACTTTCAATTCTTCCAGTTGGTAGAAAATCCCAATTTGTTTCTTTGTCTTTAGAAAAATCCTCCATATGAGTGTCTTTCATTTTCTAGAACACAAGGATAACAATAATTAAGATATCTGATATCTTTTAAATATTCATGCTGCTAAAGTGTGACTGTAGTTATTATTTGACCAACATATTTCTATTCTACTCAATAACTTCAATCCTTTTGGCCAGTTCCAAACAACTAAAGATGATTAATCTACCAAAATTAGTCACATTATTGTGTGGATCCTTACTCACTATTCCAGGAAGAGGTTTCCTTCCTAGACAGCACTGAGCCAGAAGGTAGGTATGTATTTGGAGATCTGGAAAGGATCTTAACAATCATGTACTCAAACTTCCAATTCTGTGAATAAAAGAATGGTGGCCTAGAAAAGTAAATGACTTACCTAAGGCTATCTAAAAAGTATAATATGCACAAAGCATCAAGGGCTGGTTTTCTAAAAATCCCTATTCTGAAGTGTAACATTTAACAGAAAGAAAAAATATACTTCTATGGTAAAAATCCAACATCATTACTAAGATATAACACTCTTTTATATTTACATAAAAATGAAAATTTAAAAACACCTTCAATTCTAATTTGCATTATTTTTCTATGGAAAGCTTTTCACTTAAGTTTTCTCTTGTTTTAAGTATCATAAAAATGTATACACAGTCAAATATGATTCAGGAAACAACTCAATACAAACTTCAAACACGTAAAAGGAGAAGAAATTTGGGCCACCGTATATATTGAGCACCTACTGTGTGCCAGGCACGTACAATGTTTACCTCTCTGATGTTTATCTCTCTAATACCACTGTAGATTAAAGACCTTTAATTCTTATTCTACAGATTAATTAAAAAGTAAAAAGTAGGGGCTGGCCCCGTGGCTGAGTGGTTAAAGTTCTGCATGCTCCACTTCAGCGGCACAGGTTTGCAGGTTCAGATCCCGGGCTTGGACCTACTCCACTCGTCAGCCATGCTGTGGCCGCATCCCACATACAAAATAGAGGAAGACTGGCCCAGACGTTAGCTCTGGGCCAGTCTTCCTCGAGCAAAAAAAAAAAGAGGAAGACTGGTAATGGATGTTAGCTCAGGGCAAATTTTCCTCACCAAAAAAAAAGTAAAAAGTAAACATCTTTTAAAATTTCAGTTAAAAAATGGGATAAAAAGAGTAAGAGAAAAAAAGTAATTGAAGAGGGCACTAATTCATTATTTCAATTACACTATTGTGTTCTCATTTTAAACTTAAATGTCAATGAAAATATTACTAGAATTATACTGAGTAAGCAATAAAAAATAAAGAAAATAATAAAAACATTTTAAATTAAGAGTTAATTGTCGGCATGAACAATTTAGTAAAAGACGATTATTTTTTAAAGCATCTCACATTTAGTAAACAGAAGTTTGCCAAATGGCTGTACATATAGGGTTTTGTTTTAGTCATTTGAAAATACGACTGGTCTCTGCCTCTCTATCGCCACACTCATAATTTCTACAATTGTAAAATGAGTACAGTCACATAGCACTTAATGATGGGGATATGTTCTGAGAAACGCGTCGTTAGGCAATTTCATTATTGTGTGAACATCACAGAGCGTACACACACAAATCTAGATGGTATAGCCTATTACACCCCTAGGCTATATGGTACTAATCTTATGGGACCACTATTATACATGTGGTCCATTGCTGACTGAAATGTCATTATGACTGTAGTCATATTCTATCAATATTGCTATCAGAATTCAATATAATTCAAAACCAAGAAAATTTAAATACTTTAACAAAAACATAGGTGGGATGCTGGTAGCTTATGTATAAATTAGCAGACAAAAATATTTGATTTCCAGTATCTGGAAATATTTTCATATTTATGAGCTAATCATCATATTCCTATATACTGTTATAAAATGTTTTAACCTGCTTCCAAAACAGGGAACCTCCATCATGTTTTCTCTTTTATCCAGTGATGCTTATGCTTTCTTCTTAGATCACAGTACAATATACTTAGGGCCAGCAATTATAAATAATATGATAGGTACTATATATGTAAGTCATTCAAACAATATTACCCAAAAGAACCTCTAAATTATATCAAACACAAACTTAGATTTGTAATTTAACCACACAAATCCAGTAACAGTGTACTTACAAAACTGCGCTTGCCAGAGCGTGAAGTTGTTGATAATGATGGTGTTAAATAATAATCAATAGTCCCTTTCTTAGCAGTATTCAGTGCTTTAAGGTTGCAGAAGCACACACTTAAAAGGGTAAGATGAAATGGCATCTTCACATTCACCATATTTCGAAAAAGTTTCATAACTATATCAACCATTGGGGTCATCGCATCATAATTTCCTAAATAAAATGTTTAAGAAGATAGTATATAAACACATTATATCATAATTGATATTAAATGCTTAGTCTAATTTATATTGCTTAGATTAAGAAATTAAAATCCTAAATAGATATCACTGGGACACCTTGACATTATATACTAAACTTGGACATCTCAACATTAATACTAAATGCCAAATGAGTTCAAGTTTTCAAAAGATTTGAAACCACGGGACACTTCTGGTTATGGTAGAGTGATGAGGTCAGAAGATCTTCTCCCCATAAAACTATAATAAAACTGAACAAAATCATCAAAAATAATCATTTTGAGGATCTCGAAACAAACCAAAGGCAAATAAAGTGAGAAGCATTAATTCATGAAAAACTGCTAGAACTTAGGTAAGAAAGTGGGAGACTGCAGCCTTATTGGCTGGTGTTGTCTGCATCTCCCTTTACACAGCTCAGTTGGTACAGTAGTTCTACCAGGGTGAGGCTGGCTATGAAAGCCAGCAGCTCCGCTGCCAGAAAGGACAGACTTGATTTGAGGCAGAAGGCAAAAGCCCACATCCAGCAGCATTGCCAGTAAAACGAACAAAGTTGATAGGAAACAAATGGGAAAATCGCACAGCACTCTAGCCTGATGTTGCAGCAGTGGTGGGGTGAGTGAAAGATCAGTAGACGAGCCACAAATTTAACCAGAAGATCCGGAAATGAGAGAACCATAGAGGGATTAGATAAACTCTCCTCACAACCTCAGCTGCCTGAGAGGCTGTATGCACAGGGAGGGGAGGCCAGAGAGGGCCCAAGCTCTCCACACATCCCTGACTGGAATAGCAAAAGCATATGAAGGGAGATGCAAGAGGGCCTAGCAGAAAATAAAAGCCAAGGCACACCTGACAATGGCCTAAATTTTGAAAGTGCTCTCCAACCCAAGCACACATCTGTTGACAGATGGTAGAAGCCTTCCAGGCTCTAGCATTTGAGCAAAACCTTTGACCAATCATTGGCTAACCACTAAACTATGCAGACAGAGAGGTAACATCCTAGGAAGCCAAAATAAAATATTTAAATTAAAAAAAGAAAAGCTGAGCAGAGAAATCAGGGGCAGCACGTTACAGAGAAGGTAGATTCTGCAGCTTAAGTCCAGACAAGTTACAAAAAAAAGGGGACAAAAAAAGCTCACAAGAAAAAAATCCAAATCCAGAGTTTCTACAATACATTACCTAAAATGTCCAATTTTCAACAAAATATTACAATACATGCAAAAAACCAGAAGAATGTGATTCATATTTGGGGGAAAAAGCAGTCAATAGAAACTGACTTTGAGTTGGATTTGGCAAAGACTTCAAAGTTGCTATTATAGATGTATTCAAAGAATTTAAAAAACCATTTTAAAGAATTAAAGTAAAATAGAATAATGACTATCAAAACAAGAGGAATCTCAATAAAGAAACAGAATCAAACATACAAACAAACAAAAATAAATGGAAATTATAAAGTTAAAAAGTACAGTAACCAAAACAAGCAAAATCACTAGATGGCAATAGCAGTTTTGAGATGAACAGATGAATCAGAGAACTTGAAGACAGCTCAATAGAAATGATCTAGTCTAAAAATAAAGAAGAGAAAAAAGACTGAAGAAAAATGAATAGAACTGCACACACCTGTAGGACATTATCAAGCACACCAACATTCATGCGACGAGAGTCCCAGAGGAGAGGAGAGAAAAAAAGAGAAGAAAAAATATCTGAAGAAACAAGAGCAAAAAACTCCCCAAATTCCATTAAAAAAAATTAATCTACAGAATCAAGCTTAATAAATTCCAACTAGAATAAACACAAAGAAATTCCACACTTAGACATATCATAGTCAAACTACTGAAATAGACAAAGAAACAAATGACTCATCATATAAAGGCGATCAACAATACAACTATGCCTTCTAACAACTTATTTCCTCTCAGCTCCAAACGCAGTCTGCAGCACCTGCTCTGTGGTAATAGGTTGGACTCTCCAAAATTTTTTTTTACATTGAACACAATGTTAAGCTTCATCAGTAGAGAGCAGTGGAGGACCACTAAAGGAGACAGGGAGTATCTCTTCCTGGTTCCAATGTACTGTCATTTACTTTTCCTTGCTCCTGTTACATGATCTGTGGTATATACGTGTGGGGACATCCAATAGTGCTCTGCCACACCACACACATGTGGAATGTTGAGTCCCTCAGCAACCTCGAGCCCCAGCCCAAGCCTAGTGACCGTGTTACCATGGCACTACCAACTCCAACGCTGCACAGACCAGGCTGGTGCTGTAAACAGTGCCTCAACTCTTGCACACTCACCTAACAGCCTTGACTTGTCTACGCCCCAAAGGGTTTCCTCCAGTTCTTTCTATGCAGGCACCATACCCTCTAATTTTGTGCTAGCAGAAGAATGCAGTTTCCTTCAGCACAACCACCCACCAGCCTCAGCTTGCCTGCATCCTGGAGGGTTAACACAAGCCCTCCAAACATGGACACAGCACACCCCAGCTCATGCACTACCCTGCCAACGCGCAAGCTCCTAACATGCCAACCCCTCCTGCGTGCCCACCACTCAGCCTCAGCTCATTCATGGATCAGAGGGTGGTTTTCTCTTTGTCCAATAACTATGGACAAGCTCCTGGCCAGGTAACTCAAAAGATTTCTCTACCATCCAAGTGTCCTGCAACCACATCTTCTCCTTGATGAGTACGGGGACTCCCCTTTCCAAGTCTGTCCTTCCTTGGGTACTTTTCCTCAGCCCTTGGGTACCTCTTAGAGTTCTCTTTATACCTTTGTAGTCACTCCTCTATCATAGTTTAATAATTCTGTGAAACTTGCCCTGCTCAAATTTCTGTGTGGTTATTCTCTCCTGATTGGAAGGAGACTGATAAAACTACTAACATGTGACTCATCAGAAATAATGGAAACCAGAAGGCAATGGAATGGTATATTTAAAGTATGGAAAGAAAAACAGTCAAGAATTATATACCCAGATGAACTGCCATTCAAAGATGCTATTTTGGTGGAGTATTCCATAAATTTTAGTTAAGTAGAATGGTTTGATAATGTTGCTCAACTCTTTTCAAAGACAAATGGAACATTCTCCAGGATAGGCCATAAGCAAGACAATAAAATTAGCTTCAATAAATTTAAAAGGATTGAAATTACTCAAAGTATGTTCTCTGATCAACATGAAATTAAATTAGAAATCAAAAACAGAAAGAAATTTGAGAAATCATCAAACATTTGGAAATTAAACAACAAATTTCTAAACAAATTTAAAGATCAAAGATGAAACCACAAGGGATATTGGAAATTATTTTGACCTTAATGAAAAGAAACACAACAAAAATTTACGGAATACAGCTAAAACACTGCTTAAAAGGAAATATATAACTTTAAACTCGAATTATTAGAAAAGAAGGTAAGTATAAAATAATATAAGCTTCCACCTTAAGAAACTAGGGGAGAAAAGACAAATTAAACTTAAAGCAAGCAGAAAGAAGGAAATAACAAAAACAGAGCAGAAATACACAAAATAGAAAGTAGAAAAACAACAGAGAAATCAATGACACCAAAAGTTGGATCTTAGAAAAGATCAACAAAACTGATTAACATTTGCTAGAATAACTAAGAAAAAAAAGAGAATACATAAATTACCAAAATCAGGAACAAAAAAGCAAACATCACTATAGACCCTACAAAACTCCGAAGGATTATAAGGAAATATTAACAACTTCATGCCAACAAACTAGACAACCCGGACGAGATATGTACTTTCCTAGAAGATACAAATTACCAAAAGTGACTCAAAATAAATAGAAACCCTGAATAAATTTAAAACAAATAAAGAAATAAAATTCCTATTTTAAAAATCTTCTCACAAACAAAAGCCCAGGACCATGAATAGCCAAAGCAATTTCAAAAAGGAACAAAGCTGGAGAACTTACACTACCTCATCTCAAAACTTACCACAAAGTATCAAGACAGGGTGGAAGTGGCATAAGGATAAACATACAGATCAATGTAACAAGAAAGTCAAGAAATAAACACTTATATTTATGGTCAATTAGTTTTTGACAAAGGTGCCATGACAACTCAACAGGGAAAGAATAGTCTTTTCAACAAATTCTGCTGGAACAATTCGATACCCACAGGCAAAAGAATGAACTAAGACTCTCATCTTACACCACACATAAAAATTAACTCAAAAGTGGATCTAAGTATAAAGCTTATTAAAACTATAAAATTTCCAAAAGAAAACATAGGAGGAAATATCTGCAACCTTTGGGTTAGGTAAAGAATTTTTAGATATGACACCAAAAGCACTATTCATTAAAGAAAAAAACACACAATGAAATACCACTACATAGCCAAAAGAATGACTATAATAAAAGAAACTGACAATACTGTCGGTGAGAATATGAAAACCTGAAACCCTCATATATGAGGTGAAAATCTAAATTGCTACACCCACTTCAGAAAAACGTTTGGCAGTTTCTTAGAGTTCAACTTACCACAAAAGCCAGCAATTCCACTCCTTGTAATCTACCTAAGGTAAAAGAAAGTATATACCCATCCAATGACTTGCACATAAATGTTCACAGCACCATTTTTCATAACTGCCAAACAATGGAAACAATCTAAATGCCCATAAAGAAGTTATCTCATGCCGTATAATTAATTATCATAGTTTTGCTTTCTCTCAACTTGGGAAGTATTCTTAACTAAGTCTTGACTTTTATTATTTATTAAAAAACAACAACAAAGTTTTCTAGTAAAAATTCCTAACCGAATAAAGATATTTAATAGCTCACTAACTCCCTGTGAAGAGTCTCCAACTTTGGATCATATTTTTAATTCAAAGTTTGCCTTTTTTAAGACTTCCACCTGCTAATTAAATTATTAGAAAATTAGCCGACACCTGTCCCTAACTTCTGAATTACGTGGGATGGAATAGGGCACTGACGACTCTCACGGCTCCAGGGCTTTTCAGATGAATGCCGACGGATTATTAATCTTACTGTATGTGGCTTCCTTCCATCTTGGCATACCCTAAAAATAAAGAGAAAGCAGAAACAAGGAATTAGAAAAAGTACTAGCTAATTATTCTTTTAAATGGTCTAATACACCTCATTTATCTAAAGCTGCCAGATTTAGTAACTATAACAATTATAAATACAGTTGATAACTAGGCAGTAAGCAATAAAGGTCCCTGAATAGGCCAAATAAATTTCACAAAGTCTATGCAACAAAGCTCTGAAATTTTAAATGTAAGGCTCTCAGGTTTCACTCAGAATTGAGTGCTATAAGAAAAAGAACAGAAATAAGATATAATTATAAAAAGCCATTTTATAATCCAAGTCCAAAACACAACTAAAAGCAACATATTAAAATCATCAGGAAATTTAAGAAACTGAAAGAATCATACACTGACAGAAGCAAATACATGAAAAATGACAGAAGACATTTTTTATACATTTTTTAAAAAAAGATTACAAAAAGAAAAAAATTTTTTAAAATGAGATTACTTTTGTCAAAGAGCGCTTCCCAAATAGATACAAAGAAGCCAGTAATATCACCATTATACGGCACATTAGAGCAATAACTTCAAGGATCAATTATATACTATATTTAGGAAGATAAGTACATGTACACGCATCTCAAAAAGTGTTTCATCTAAATAATCTTGGTTTTGGTATTGAAGACAAAGTTTTAATGATGTAGAAAATTCACTTAAAATCTAATTATTAGAGAAAATAAATGTTATTAAAAAATAACATTTTCCTTTTTATATGTATAGCAATGCACTAAAAAAATCACAAACATAAAATACAAATATTACACATTGTTAAACATACTTAAATTGAAGATTCTGAATTGGAAAATCTATATTTTTGTAGTAAATAATGTTTTTCTCTTATTGTTTTATCACAAAACTTCTCGATTGCTGCCTTACTAATAAAATATCTTAAATGGTTCCTGTAAACACGTTACTAGTTTAAATATCTTCCAGTTAAACTTGTTCTCTCAAGTCATTACGCAATTCAAAGAGTGTGATTTGGTTCCTATAACTACCAGAAAAAGGTTATATTTTAAGCAATCTTAAATTAGTGCCTAGAGGATGGATTAAAAATTATAATTTTATACCTCCTACATACCTCTAGCAGTAATCATCATATACTCTAGAAGGAAAACACATTTACACACACACAATTATTTTTTTTGCCACTTAGATGGTATTACACCTCAGTCACTGAAATAAGAGGCCAATGCAGAGGAGGGAATGGCAACCAGGGATAAGGATAAACGGTTACTAGTCGGTATTTCACAGGTTTAGAGCACCTGGTCTCATTTCTGGGTTGACTCTTCAAATAAGAAAACCTATGAAACTTACACTTCTGTGGTTTCTCTATGTGTAGAACTGTTTCCAATGGCCAGGCATTTCATAGTAGTCTTATCTTTAGCTGAAGCAAAGCAGATGACCCAATTTCACTAGCATACTCGCAGGCTCAGCCTGAGTCATATCACTGAAGCTGGGTCATACAGCCAGCCCTAGCTGCATGCAGCAAACGATGAGCTGCATGTCTCTGCTCAAGACATGAGAACCACACTGCATATGAGAGCAAAGTTGTATGAAGTTTCACTTCATCAGTTTTCTGAGAGGGTCATCCAAAAACCATTTTCTCTAGTCACAGTTAGCCATCCTAGCATCATTACAGAAGCACGCCTACCCAAAACTGTTAGACCCCTGACACTCCATTTTGAGAAATCAAAGAAATGGGAGGAAAAGAGATAATACTCTTCTATGGAGTACTGAGAAACAGATATATGACGTCAAAGGAACATCAGCAAACTAAATGTCTGGTTCAGTTTAAGCTATGCTATTCGTATACCCATAATCCCAGCTGACACTCCTCATGTACTTACAGACTAGTAACCCTGCACACACCCACAATCACTCTTACTGATTACACATAGCCCCATTTAGCTATTCCTTCATCTGACTCCATTTTCTTTCACATAGTCTGAGACAAAGAAGATATAAGCGTTCTTCTGCTTTCTCCATCATTGTTGCTCTTAATAATCTCCTATCCTCAACCTTCACAAATTTATAGGTATAAAGATTATAGAGATATCCATAAAACTCCCTTAGGTAACTATCAGCAGCTAAGATCCACGGTACAACCACAATGTTACTAAAAGTAAGAATAATGGAAGTAGATGGATTAAATTTAGTTAAGAGTACCTGTTATTATCTTTGCAATAGTTTATAACAGAGAAATTCAGTGATAAACGACCTACCTTACACTGTTTAATCTCCCGTTAACCTGTAAGTTCCAAGACAGAACATCAAGTGTTTTTTCTATATACCATACATAAAATATATAGGATGATAGGGTAAAATGGAAAATCACCTGTTCAAAAGACTAGCAAGTAGTTCTTCAATCTTATTTTTAACTTCAACTTCTGATGAACATTTTTTAAATGAATCTTCTTCACTAAAGGACTACCAAAGAAGCACAAATAAGGATTATTGTAAACCCAAATAAGCACATCCAATTATCAGTGTACATGTCAAATGAATATTCAACACATTCTTTACTAACTTACCTCTTGTGTTTAGTTTGAGCTATTTAGTTCACTTTTATATTAACTCTTTTTATCTGCAAGTTATTGTACTCTACTAGAAAGTGCACTGGAAGTCAAGACAATTATAAAGCCCTAGATACCAACTCCAAGCTTTACTGTATGATTACAGCGAGGCTCTTAATCTCCTAGGACTTGAATTTGAGTTTAACCTTGGGCAATTATTTAACCTTTCTGAAGTACAGTATCCTCATCTTAAAAAAAAATAGAAGAGAGAGTGAGAAAAGGAGGGAAAAAGGTAACAAACAATAGTACTACCTACCTCGAAGGTCTGTTGTGAAGATTAAATTGGCTAACATATATAAAGCACTTAGTAAAGTGCCTGTCACAGAGGAAAAAAACCACTGTTAACCGGCTGACTATACTTTTCTCCATTTCTTAAATCATAAGACTACTCTGAAAATAAGATTTTTAAAAAATTAAAATATCTTGCCTCATATATGCAATATAGGCTACTAGAATTAAGTAGTATTCAACCAAAGTGGCTAACCTGAGACTTAAATACTTAGATTCAAGTTAAGAATATTTATTAATCTAATACAATAAATTAGCCTTCTCATAGGAAAGGGATCATGTATTAACTTAATAAGCAAACTAGAATAGTAAGAACACAGTACTAAAACTAGAAATCTTTATTTCAAATAATGTGACAAGCGGTACTTAATAAAAATAAATATCATTATCATGTACCTGAGGTGGTCCTGAGGACGTCACAGGAGAGTCATCCTCTCCAAAACTGAGCTTCTGGATACGCTGAGCAACTGCAAGTCCTAATTCCTTTTCTAATATTTTGGGTGAAAAGGTTTGAAGATCACGCACACTACTGATACCCAGAGCTTCAAGACGTTTGGTAGTTTTATAGCCAATACCTAAACAAAAGAAATGCATACACTGTTACAATAGTGTTCTCTCCTTAAAATAAAGCTAATTAAAATATTATAAATATATCAACCAAAACTTTAAGTTCCATAATTAATATTTCGCTAAGATCAAACTTTATTGAAAATTAGGTCATTGTTCTTCTGCTCTTGGCCTCTGAGTTACAGTCATGAGTTGCTTAATAACAGGGATATGATCTGAAAAATGCGTCATTAGGCTATTTTGTTGCTGTGCGAACATCATAGAGTGTACCTACACAAACCCAGATGGTATGGCCTACTACCCACCTAGGCTCTATGGCAGGCTACTGCTCCTAGGCTGTATAGCACGTTACTATAGAGAATACTGCAGGCAACTGTAACACAAGGATAAGTATCTGTGTAACTAAACATATCTAAACACTGAAAAGGTACGGTAAAAAATACAGTATAAAAGATAAAAAATGCTACACCTGTACAGGGCACTTACTGTGAATGGAACTTACAGGGCTGGAAGTTGTTCTGGGTGAGTCAGTGAGTGAGTGGTGAATGAATGTGAAGGCCTAAGACATCACTATATACTGCTATACACTTTATAAACACTCGACACTTAGGCTACACTCAATTTTTGAAAAAATATTTTTCTTTCTTCAATAATTAACCTTAGCTTACTGTAACTTTTTTACTTTACATAAAAAGTTTTAAATTTCTTTTTACTTTTTGACTCTTTTGTAATAACACAGCTTAAAACACAAACTGCACAGCCGTACAAAAATATTTTCTTTCTTTATATTCTTATTCTGTAAGCTTTTTTCTATTTTTAAAATTTAATTTTTTAACTTTTAAAACATTGTTAAAAACTAAGACACACACACGTTTCCCTAGGTCTACACAGGGTCAGGATCATCAATATCACTGTATTCCACCTCCACATCTTGTCCCACTAGGTCTTCAGGGGCAATAACACACATGGAGCTGTCATCTCCTATGAGAACGATGCCTTCTTCCTGAATACCACCTGAAGGACCTGCCTGAGGCTCTTCTTGAGGAGGTGTCACTTTTTCAATACATCCATCCACGGTGGTTTGCTTGGTTTGTTTCTTTTCTCATCAGATATTTGCTTGTAAGCAGATAATGTACCATGAACCTTCCTCTCTATTAACAAAAACCTTTCGATGTTGGGAATCCATGTTTTCAAACTTTTTAAGGAGCTTGCTGAGGTCTGCAAAAACTTCTGTTAAACCCTTCACTGTGAATTTTCTTGGGGCATTCTTCTCCTGCAGTTTCCTTTTCTCTTGCCTCTTCTTCATCTATGCATTCCTCTTCTGGTTTCAAAAACTCATTAGTAAATTCCTCAGGAACCACCTCTAGGAGCTCAAGGTAATCCTCATCCACACCTAGGTTCAAGTTGTTTGCCATCTCAGTGATGGCCTTGTCGATTTTTGCCACTTCCTCGTCCTTGGCAAATCCTTTGAGTCACGGATGGACCTCTTGAGTGTCTTCTTCCAGATGCCATTCATACACTCCTTGACAACATCACCCCAAGCCCAACCAAGGTTCTTAATGCAGTCAGAGATGTTATAATCCTTCCATAATTGCGCCAGTGTCTTCTCAGTGTCTTCCTCACTTGCAGCAATAGCCTGGGCAAAGGTCCTCCTCAGGCAGCACACCTTAAAAGCTGCTACAACTCCTTGGTCCATTGGTTGGATCAAACAGGTGGTGATTGGAGGGAGAAAGGCCAATTAATATTGGGATGAAGATCACCAATAAAAGAAGGATATCCGGGAGCATTATCAACAATAAGCAAAATCTTCAAAGGTACGCTCTTCTCCAAACAGTACTTCTCCATTTTGCTGGCACAGCAATTCAGGAGGGCATCTTAGAAGAGGAGCTGGGTCATCCATGACTTCTTATTGCTTCTGTAGTACTCTGGCAGTGTGTACTTAGTGATGTGCTTGAAGGTCCTGGGGTTCTTACTGTGCCAGATCACAAAGGGTTTCAATTTGTAGCCTGCAACATTGACCCCAGGCAAGACTGTCCTTAAAAGCCTTGAAACTTGGCCTTGACTTGGCCTCTTTATGGATGAAAGTCCTTTAGGCATCCATTTCCACAACAAGGAGGTTACATCCATATTGAATATTTGCTCTAGCAAGTGATTTTCCTCCACGATCAGCTTATGTAGTTTCCAAAAATACTTTAGCTGCCTTCACAGCAGCACTTGCAGACTCAGCAATGACTTTCACATTGCGTAATGAATAATGATTCTTGAATCGTTTAAACCACCCAGAGCTGGCAGTAAATTCAACATCATAGTTGAGTCCAACTTTTTCTTTCAACATTGCAAACAAACTCTTTGCTTTGGCCATGATCGTCATGGTGCTGAGAGGGATATGCTTCTGCACTGTCTTCAATCTAGGTCATTTTAAGTTTCTCCATGTCTGATATAGACCCTTCTCAAATTTTTGTTAGTTTGTTGCCTTCAATGAAGCAGATCCTTTAACAGCTTCCATCACTTTGTTCTTAAATTCTTCAAGGTCGTAGCTGTGGGAGAATGGGACATGCCTGACTGGTGAGCAATAACCATCACTGATTTTCCACCTTAGTAGTCCTCAATCACTTTCAATTTCATTTCTAGTTCAAGCACTGGACATAGCCTTTTACTAGCAACATTAGCAGTGGATTTTGTATGCTTAGGGGCCATGATGAACAAAACAACACAACATTAAGTCAAGCACAAGAGAAAATGATGCAATCAAGAGATGCAGTGAATGCAAGATGTATGAGGCTGCTGCTGGCGTAACACAGCATGCTGTTTTACAGAAAACTCTTCTTTTTTATAAGTAGAAAGAGTATACTCTAAAATAACTATAAAAAGTATAGTAAATAAACCGAGTAACACAGTCATTTATTATCATTATCAAGTATTATGTACTATATATAATCGTATGTGCTATACTTTCATATGGTTGGCAGTTCAGTAGGTTTTTTTACATCAGCATCACCACAAAAACATGAGTAATGCATTATGCTATGAATTTACAACAGCCACATCACTAGGCCATAGGAATTTTTCAGCTCCATTATAATCTTATGGGACCACTGTCATATTTGTGGTCCACTGTTTTTTTTTTTTTTT